GTCGGCCCTGGCCCCCCAGATCGGCCCCCTGGGCCTGGGAAGTCATCCTCGCGGGGGGAGGGAGCGTTTCTTACTCGCGAGCACCGCCTTGTCAGACACAGCTGTGCCCGAGGGGCCGCTTTCCATTCCCGCGTAGACCTCGGACTCACTGGATTGCCGCTAGTTGTGTGGAAAGGTTGTATCTGCGCTTAGAGCCCGGTGCCTCGAAGCGGTGACTAACTCCACTGAGGGAGAGGCCGGGAGGGCCACGGGAGGGTTTTGAAGTTCACTGGCTTAGCGACTTTTAGCCTATGTTTTCTTTATTTTTATTGATTTCAGAGAGGAAGGAAGAGGGAGAGAGAAACATCGATGAGAGAATCATTGATCGTCTGCCTCCTGCACGCCCCCTACTGGGGATCGAGCCCAAAACCGAGGCACGTGCCCTTGACCTGAATGGAACCCAGGACCCTTTAGACCACAGGCTGACGCTCTGTCTACTGAGCCAAACCAGCGAGGGCTTAGCCTATGTTTTCTAGTGAGGGAAATGGGCATTTCACTGTGTGGAGGCTTAAATGGGATGTTGGGTGAAGATTCTGGTGAACGTTATAATAGCTGTGTTTCCTGTTCTGTTCCAAACCAACTGGTTAGTGTGGCCAGCTTTCCATGACGATCAGTCTTATTTTCCTACTTATCCATTTTACTGAAGTTGGATTTCCCAAAATATGAGACCTTTGTTCCTTGCACAGTGGTCTCTTGTTCCCAAGTGTTGTCCCACCTTGGTCTTGCTTAACCAGTGTCTTGTTTTAGTTCTTTTGTTGAAAGTATTACATATTTCTCGTTTCCCCCCATTGTCCTCTTCCAGCCTGTCCCACCCCCCAGCCCTGGCCTTCACCCCTCCACCCCATCATCTGTGTCCATTGATTATGCTTAAATGCACACATTAACCCTTGGCCCTTAGCTCTGCTGGCACTAGGGACATGTTTCCTAGTGGTCACTAGGAAATTCTAAAGTAGCAAATGCCAGACTTCCGTCCCCATAGATTGACTTGGGTTGGCCTGACACGGGAACCTGATAACTTGAAAGGTCTTCAGATGATTTGAATGTAACTAATGTGGAAATTTTCTCCCTATGTTATCACGTAGGTCCTTATGAGAGGTTCGATAGGTAATTTTGCCCCATTATGGCCCTTGGCCTGTAGTTTACAACCCTGAAAAACCACCCCTAGCTTAATTTTTCCAGTTTATACTATGCTGAGAGCCTTGCCTTGATTGGGTAGGTGCAGTTGTGTGCTCAGTTTCTTGTGCTGTATAAGGAAGATTTGGGGTATTGGCAAGTGAGGAAGACTGGATAGGTTTTAAGGGCACTTAAACTTAAGGCACAATATGATTTCATACCTTTATTTCTACAGTCTCCAAAAAAGGTTGGTGATGACATCGCCAAAGCAACCGGTGATTGGAAAGGTCTGAGGATTACAGTGAAACTGACCATTCAGAACAGACAGGCCCAGGTACTTGGTTTGAGGGTGGGCAGGGGTAGCCACCCTCTGGGAATCCTGGGTGGAAGGTTTTGCTGACATGGCCACCTACCATTAGCAATTTTATGTGTGGGGAAAGCTTTCCCGAGAGCAAGGCCAAAGATATGCTCAAATAGTACTCTTACCACTGTGTGACATTGGGCGAATCACTTAATTCTCCTTGGCTAGGATGTGTTTTGGATTTTGAAAATTACTTGAGATGGTACAAGTCCAGTGTCTGCCCCATGGTCTCCAAGAAAGCAAGTTTCGAGGCAATATTGTCTTCATTGGAGGTTGGGGTAGGGCTTAATCATGAGAATCTCTTCTTAGATCGAAGTAGTGCCTTCTGCCTCTGCCTTGATCATCAAAGCCCTCAAAGAACCGCCAAGAGACAGAAAGAAGCAAAAAAACAGTGAGTGGCCTTTCTCTGACCAGTTTGTGAGCGGCGGTGTCTGCGTAATGCTTGATACTTAGCTGCATGCTTTCTTTTTAACGTGACCTGGGGATGGCATGGGGATTGGGTGGCAGGCTGTTAGGTAGCCAGGCGGTGTCGAGAAGTGCCATTCAGGGTGAAACAACAGAATGATGAATTCAGAGAGCACTTCTTAGCTGGGTAACACTGAATAGATTAACTAACACCAGTAACTTAAGCTTGCCTTTCCTCATCTCTAAAACAGTCATGTACATGTTAAGATTGGTAACGATTTGATTTTGCCATTAGCCACCCGCCACTGCACCTGACCACTTCTCTGTTGGCTGGTGCATTCCAGTGGTGAGCTGAAAGCAAACCCCAGCTTAGGAAACAGGGTCATTCTTCATGTGGGTGACTCTGTGCCGAAAGTGTGGGAACAACCAGGAAGTGGCTGAGGAAGGACATTATGTGGTCTGCTTTGGCTTGTGACAGAGCTTTTGCTGTGTTTTCTTTTTCTGCAGTTAAGCACAGTGGAAATATCACTTTTGATGAGATTGTCAGCATTGCCCGACAGATGCGTCACCGATCTTTAGCTAGAGAACTCTCTGGTAAGAGCAGGACAACATGGAAACACCTAGTGATATGGGGCATATTCACCGAGTGGTACCTTTTTCCCACTTAAAGGAGACAATTCTGTAAGACCCAAAATTTGGGGTGTAGTCTTTTCTGGGTTTGAAGAGTGGCTTGATCATGGTGATTTTGGGCCAGGTGTATTTAATCTGGGTATCAAGGGGTCCCATGGAGACTTGGCATTCAGGCCTTGCATAAGTAAATGGGAGCTCTCAAGTAGGGGAGTCGGGAGTGTTTATTTCTGGTATTTTATGACTCTGTCTGCTGTGGAACTCAAATGAATTTTCCCAGTGGTGTCTGAGGATTGTGAGGGGCTGGCGTTCCCATCTAATGCCACCTTTTCCTAATTATAGGAACCATTAAAGAGATCCTGGGGACTGCCCAGTCTGTGGGGTGCAATGTTGATGGTCGCCACCCTCATGACATCATAGACGATATCAACAGTGGTGCAGTGGAATGTCCAGCTGTAAGTGACTTCTGTATTTCGTTTGCTTAAAATCAGGGTGAAAGCTGGAGAGTTCTAGAATTGGTCAGTAGTGGGGGTTGAGAAGACTTTCCTGATCACTGATAGGATTTCTTTTTTCTTTCCTACAGAGTTAAGAACTACAAAGGAAAATGTTTCAATTAAAGATCATTTGACAAGCAGTGGACTTTTTGATGTGGCCTTTTCCCTGGGGGAGCTAGGTTCTTTGTGGTCAGGTGGTTAGGGGGACCTGTGGAAGCACCATTCTGGGCATCTGTTATCTTACCAGTAACAGATTTCTGCTCTCGATGGCACCAGCTCTCATGAAAGACACCCATAAAAGAAGTCTCAGCGGTTTTGGTAGACATTCCTAGAGCTCTTCATAAGAAATAGTTCTTGGCCAGAAGGAAAACTTGTGCAGCATAACTACGTGGGTGATGTTCTTCATCTTAGACCAAATCATTTGGGGAGTGGGGCCTAGGGCCTCTAATTCAAGACTTCGAGATCCATTCAGTACACAGCTGGGGCTAAATGATTGGATAACAAAGAAACCGGACCTATGTCCTTGATTAATTATGTGAAAGTGAGGGTCAAGTATACTTCTAAAGTTTAGCTACAGCCTAGTCCTAACATTGTCTTGGCTTTAAACCAGCAACAGATTATAATCTATGTTTTCACCTTTTTCTTCATCATCCCTCTGTTTCTTCTAAATCATCCTTAGAGCTTATCATTCACTTTTCCTTTATTAGACATGCAATGGATGGGCACCTGGGCACTGGGATAGGCCATAGTTAAGTAGCTTGAAACTCCACTTGGTAATGATTAACCCAAGAGCTTCATTTTTTTGCCATTAGTTGTTTCTTTGCTCTCCCATTAATTTTGTCAACAGGCCCTTTAGTAGGTGGTTTTTAGTCACCCCAGGTGCAATCGGTTTGAGAACACACTATCTTTAGTAGAAAGGTGAGGGAAAAATAAGTATTCTAGGACATGTGCCAAGTCACCCAAAGAATCAAAGCTAGAGGCTTGGGGTGAGAATAGTTGACACAAGCCTCCCTTGCAGCAGGGAAATCTGTCCCTGAAGTCAAGCACATTCCTAACCAAAAACCAGGGAAAGCACACAGTGGTTTGTAACTGCTGAGATGAGATCACACCAGTTGGTCTAATATCAACAGTAGGACCCAGGTCAGTGCAAAGTGGATAAGCAAAGGGAACTGCCCTCTAATGGGGAAAGCAGGGATAGCCCACCTGACCCTGACAGAGGGAGAGCATGGCTTCATCAGGTCGTCCCTCCCTGTTAGGGTGTGCCTTATGGGGAGATTTTGGTAACAGCCTCCTGACATCCTCAGCTTCTATCCTTCCAAGACTTAACAGCTCAAACAGCACTAGGTCAGTTCATAAAGTGGGCATAGGGTATAGCAGTGTTGTGGTACATCTGTGTGTGTGTCGATTTTTCATATATTTAGCATTAAGGCATGAATCCTTCATCACCTACCCTCAGTGAAATTGTAGCATTAAATGGTTGGCCTCAGAATCTTTCCTACTTGAATTTACTTCCTCAAATCAGGTACTTTATTGACCCCATTATAGAGAAATGCTCTTTACTGGCCAGAATACTTGGTTCTTACGGTTTTTACAAGTCATTCAAGGAGGGATAATCATTGCTGAAATTCCTTTATAAACCAAGGTTTCTTGGAGTGCTTGGTCTTAGGGCTCATGAATATAGGTGACTAGTAATTTGAGTTGGGTTATATAGTTAAAGAAAAAAAGCTCTTGAGACCTTCCACATGAAATAGTCACTATTAAAGGTGCAAAAGTGTTTCCAGAGGCTTTCAAACCATCAGGTCCCCATCCATGTTGGTCATGTTGCCAGTTACTCTCTAGCATGGAGTCTCTGGTGTCTAATGAAAGCTGAGCTACACCTGAAGGCCTTCCCACACTCCCTACATTGGTAGGGTTTCACACCAGTGTGAATTCTCTGGTGCTGACTAGGGGGTGAACTCTGGTTAAATGCTTTCTGGCTTTTCTCCCTAGTGGGTCTTTTGGTGGATTATAAGATTTGTACTTTGGCTGAAGGCCTTCCCACACTCACACTTGTAGGGTTTCTCTCCAGTATGAGTCCTCTGGTTTGTGAGGTTTGCTCTATGGCTGAAGGCCTTCCCACATGCGTTGCATTTGTAAGGTTTCTCTCCTGTATGGATCCTCTGATGCTGTATAAACGCTGCACAGTAACTGAAGGCCTTCCCACACTCACTGCACCTGTAGGGCTTCTCCCCTGTGTGAGTCCTCTGGTGGTTTGTGAGGTTGGCACTGACGGAAGGCCTTCCCACAGTTGCTGCATTCGTAGGGTTTCTCTCCAGTGTGAACTGTCTGATGCTGAACAAGGGCTGAACAGTCACTGAAGGCTTTCTCACACTCGGTGCACTTGTAGGGCTTTTCTCCAGTGTGAGTGCGTTGGTGTTTTGTGAGGTTTGCATTCTGGCTGAAGGCTCTTCCACACTCGCTGCATTTATAAGGTTTCTCTCCAGTGTGAATCCTTTGGTGCTGAGTAAGAGATGAACTCTGGCTGAAGGCCTTCCCACATGCATTGCACTCATAAGGCTTCTCCCCAGTGTGGCTCTTCTGATGCTGTGAAAGGGAAGAACAGTAACTGAAGGCTTTGCCACATTCATTACATGTGTATGGTTTTGCTCTGTGAGATTTAATTATGTCTGAATTCCTCCTGAGGCTCTTTGTATTTCACATTTATGGGGTCTCACTTTAGGAGCTCCCTGTTGTGGAGAAAGGACTGGTCACAGATTAAAGCTCTTCCCCTGTCCACAGCTCCTATGATCTGATTCCCCAGGAGGTATCTCTGCCCTTGTGTTTTGGAATGATTCTTCAGAAAAGTCTTGCTCTGGAGGTGATTCAGACACAGTCTTCCAGTCTGAAAAAGATTTAGAAAGGCAATTTAAAAAATTCCTTTGGTAGAAGAAAAGAGAATACTGAAATACAAAGGCTGGAGGAGTTTGGCTGAACTCCAATGCAGACAGGTTTGATGCTTCACTTTTCACCCAGAACATTAGTGGTTTATGTTTCTGTTTCTGTTCTAAACCATGAATAATGACCAATGGCTTCTCAGGGACATTAGCTCACATTAGCCTCCCCTTTCTTTAACCTCTACTGCAGATGTGATACTCCTTTTCCTTCTGCTACGGATCTGTTTTTGCCTAATACTACTAGGTAGTTGTCTCAAGCTGTCCTAGTCTCAATTCTGTGTGGTTTTGGGCATTCTGCCTACCTGGTTTAAAAAGCTGATAACAGCCCTAGCCAGTTTGGTTCACTGGATAGTGTTGACCTGAGGACCAAAGGGCCCTGGGTTTGCTTCCCGTCAAGGGCACGTATCTTGGTTGCAGGCTCCTCTCCAGTCCAGGCCCTGGTCAGGGCTTGTGCAGGAGGCAACCAATCGATGTGCTGCTCTCACATTGATGTTTCTGTCTCCCTCTCTCTTCCACTCTCCCTAAAAAAAATAAATATCCTCGGTTGAGGATTAACAAAAGAAACAAAACAAAAAGCTGCTAACAGTGCAGCATAATACATTTTTTCACTTTTTAAAATTAAGATTTTAAAAAGACGTGTAATCCTAGCGTTGGTAAGAATTTAGCACCCCGATATCTCATACACTGGTGGGGCTGCATAAATTGGAACATTCTGGAAAACAACATGGTTGCATGTGCCAAGAGTCTTGAAAATATTGATAGCAGAATTCTCTTCGAGTTTATCCTAAGGAACCATTGAGAATGCACAGCTGTCAGATGAAAAGCAAACATCTAAATGTTGAATAATGAGGGGATGACCATAGCACAGCCAACCAAGGGACACTATTAGCAATTGCAAGTCATGTTTGAAGTCTGCACTAATTCCTTTGGTAGAAAAGCCCTGAGAGATATGGGTATAAGCTGTATTGTCTTTGGGTTGTGGGATCAGACAATTTTTCCTAGTGTTTATCTGTATTTCCTAATGTCCAATGACAGTATTTTATAATACAAGTTATAAAAACCTTGCTTTCAGAGAATATGCAGTGATAGAAACATGCTGTTAAGTGAAAAAAGGAATATGTAAAATTACATATTACTGAATTTTGTGAGATGAAAACTGTTTATATCTGTATGGTGGGATAGGGGATCTTGATCTTTTTCTAAATTTAACTGAACCTGCATCATTTTTACTAGAATGGATATTTTTTAAGTTAATGTTTCTTCTTTAAAATTGGTGTGCAGCACATTTTTATGCTTTATGAAGTGACCGCAGTAAGTCTAGTAACCATCTGTCACGATAGTTGTTACATTGATTCTGTTCTCTGTTCTGTAACTTAAATCACTGTGACTTATTTTATAGCTGGAAGTTTGTACTTCTTCCCTTTCCTTTTTCTGCCCAACACTGACCTCCCTCCCCTCTGACCATGAGCTTGTGCTGTTTGTTTCGTTGGTTCATTTTTTTGTTTGTTTTTTAGATTCCACATATAGGTGGTTGACTTTTTTCACTTACCATAATACTCTTTAGAAAAGGTCCATTAATATTGTTGCAAATAGCTAAGTTTCATTTTTTCAGGGCTGAGTAAGATTCCATTGTATGTATGTATTATATCTTTACTCATCTATCATGGATAGTTCTGTTGGATTAGTCTTGGCTGGTAGTTCCAGTGTTTTGGAAGGCAGCTATGCTCACCACTGTACCACCAATGCAACCTCGCTACAGTGTTTTGAATATTTCATAAAAAAATATATTTTTTTGATTTTTTTTTTTTTTTTTACAGAGAGGAAGAGAGGGATAGAGAGTTAGAAACATGATGAGAAACATTGATCGGCTGCCTCCTGCATACCCCCTACGGGAGATGTGCCCACAACCAAGGTACATGCCCTTGACCGGAATCGAACCTGGAACCTTTCAGTCCAAAGGCCGACGCTCTATCCACTGAGCCAAACTGGTTAGGGCTAAAAAATGTTTTTATTGATAGCAGAGAAAGGGGGAGAGAGAGAAATATCCATCCGCTGCCTCCTGCACATCCCCTCACCCGGAATTGAACCGTGACCTGGTTCATGGGATGACACTCAACCAACCGAGCCCCAGTGGCCCAGCTATTAACTTTTGACAGTTTTAATGCATCTTAGGGGTCTTTTTGCAGAGATAATTTCATGTCCTGTTAGCTTCTTGTACTGGATTGTCTAGTTATCTCCCTCGTTTTGTGAAGATCTTGTCAATTTGTTTTTTCAGTTTCACAAATTCTGTCTTCCATCTGGTTTATTGTATTTCCAATGCTTTTTAATGTATTTTATTGATAATCCTCACCTGAGGGATATGTACATTTATTTTTAGAGAGGAAAGGCGAAACATTCAGCTGCCTCCTGTATGTGCCCCGCGGGATCCAGTCCGCAATCTGTTTGGTGTATGGCAGTGGTTCTCAACCTTGGCTGCACATTAGAATCACCTGGGAATCTTTAAAATCCTGATTTCTGGGCCTCATCCTCCGGAAATTCTGTTTCTTTGTTATGTGTATGGGAAGAAGCTCCACCTAACCAACTGAGCCATCGGCCGGAGCCTAATGTGCTCTTCATCTCATTTAGTGATAGTTCTTCAGCTGCAGAATTGGTTTGGTTCTTTTTGGTAAAGTACTCCTTTTGTTCACTAATTTTATTCCTGACCTCACCTGAACTGCCTCCCAGTTTTCTTGTATGTTGAGTTTCTTCATGGCAGGAATCTTGAGTATCAGTCTTCCATGTCTTTCAGGTTGGTTTCTGGACACTTGGAAGTTACATGCTACCCTGGTTGTTCATGGTACTTAGGGGATCATTCCTCTGCCTGTGCATTTGAGGTAGTGGATTCTTTCCTTGTTTAGATACCGTTTTGATCTTAAAGATTCAATAGGTTGATAATTAGAGGCTCTGTTTTGTTTATCAGTAGAAGGTGACATAGTGCTGTTTTCGGGGTTTTTTTTCTTGTGCTGTGTGTGCTTCAGGGATTATAGGTGTCCTCACTGTATGTCTGGGTCCTCTCAGTCTTGGGCATAACCACCATGGAGTGGGTGGGCAGGAGCTGGGTTCACACACCCCCAGGGCTGCCTCCTGTTCCTAATGGGCACCATCACTGCTGCTACCTGGCTCTGCTGCAAGTGGGGGGAGAGGAAGGGAGCCAGATTCTTGGCCACCAATATTGTTTTGCAGGGCCATAGTGTGGGGGGCACACCCCAACACCTCCCTTGCTACTGTGTTATGTGGGGCCACCGAACTGCATCTAATCCTGCCTCCCCTATGCATTCCAATACCCCTGCCTTCAGATGTATGGACATCTCAGGCTTCATTGGATTGCCGATGTAAGGGGAGATACAAAGGAGTTTCCACATACTGCCATAATGCTGAGGTCACCCTTACATTTTCTTACTTTTAGTTTAAGGAATTTTCTTTTCCACCTAAAATCCCTTTAACTTTTTTTCTCTGGTGCTGGTTTAGCTTTTGCTTGTCTGGGAAACTAGCCTTCAATTCTAAAGGATACATGGTCGTAGAGTCTTGTTGGTTACAGGTTTCCCCCCCCTTCATTATTTTGAATATATTGTACCATTCCTTTTTGGCCTGCAAAATTTCTGGAAAGTAGCTGATAGTTTTATGGGGGCTCCTTTGTACGTAACTAGTTACTTTATATGTCTTACCTCTTTGTGATTCTCGCTGAGTTAATCTATTCTCCTGGGTTCACTAAACATCCTTATAACCAGTGTTTTGAACTCTATTTGGTAGATTACTTGTCTCCATCTTATTTAATTCTTTTCCTGGGACTTTGTCCTGTTCTTTCATTTGGGACATATTTCTCTGTCTCTTTTGGCTGTTTCTATGAAATTGGCAAACCAGCACCTTCTGGAGTGGCCTGTGTAGGAGCTGCAGGCGTCCTGAGGAAGGGTGCTCTGACATGCCTTGACAGGCCAGTTGGAGGGGCTCAGGCTGCGGAGTCCAGGGGAAGTCACAGTGGGGCCTGGAGCGTTAGTTGTGGCGGGTGTGAGCCCCAAGTCCCAGGGCAAGCTGTGCTGGGCCCATCCTGGCAGACGTGTGAGTGGAGTCAGGCTGTGAGGAGTCCAGAGGTGAAGCCACTTCAGAGCCCAGAGCTGCTGTTGGAGCAGGTGTGAGCCGCGCCAGGACCACCCTGGAAGGGCAGCCGGGGGCTGAAGCAGGCTGCGGGGAACCTCGGGTAAGCTGTGTTGCACCTGGAGCTGTAATTAGAACAATTACAGGCTGTGGGAAATTTTGGGGACAAGCCATGGAGCTAGTTTGGGCCTAGGTCCTGGTGTGCACTCGGGCTAGACGGCCTGAATTGCACTTCTTGCCAGAGTTATCCTGGGGGCTGGGAGGGCAACATGCAGCACCCCTCCCATTTGGCACATGCGCTGGGGTCAATAAATGGATTTCCTTCCTGTATAGTCTAGGTGTCCTTAGAACCTATTTTTTTCCACTGTTCCATGGACTTTTCCCTTGTTCTAACTGGGAGTTCACGCCTATTCATCTGATCTAAGATAGCCCCCACCCTCACCTTTGTACCCCCAGTTACTATTCCCTTACCAAATGCATAATGTGGGTTTCAAAGGGGCTTTTGCTCCCAAGACTCACTGGCTTAGTGCTTGTTCCCTTACCTGGACAGGTACTCCTTAGGCCTTCTCCCTCCAGCATCCATGGGCTTTTCCATTGTTCTAACTGGAAGTTCATACCAGGCTGGGAAACTGGAAGTCCTATTCAAGGGGGGAAAATGGGCTTCAGAGATCTGTCCAAATAGCCACCTAGCATGCAGGGGAATGGAAAAGGCCAGTTAGGCCATTAATTCCATTAATTCAACAAATACATATTGAGCATGCGCTTGTGCTGTGCACTACAGGATACAGCAGTAAGACAGATGGACATGGTGTGGTGCCAGTGTCTTGGTAAAAGCATTTCTGGAAGGAACTACATGAACAGCCTCAAGAAGGGGGTCAAGCTAAGGATTTAAGCTAAGCTCATAAAGCAAGCTACTTGGGAAGATGTGAAACTATTGACCAGAGAAAACTAACCTGAGGGTTACCCCAACCCTAGTCCTAGGGGGAAAACGGTGAGATGTAACCTCAGGGAGCAAAACGAAAATGCCCATCCCCCAACCAAGAATGCAGACACTTCCTAGGGAACGAGGAAGATTAAACACTGTCCCTCCAGGGTGTCAGAGCAATTTGGGATCACTCAACACGGGAAAGGGCCACAGGTTCTCAGACTGAGCAGAGTATGCTCAACGCTTTCCTTACCCAGTAGGACCAGGTTCCTGGACTTTTCTGGTATCTCCTCAAACCCTTCCCTTGGAGCTCGGACCAAGTGCCTCCACTCTGAGGAAAAGCTGCAGTCACATTGCTGAAGGGCGTGGCTCCCTGAAACAAGCACATTTCTTGCCCAGCAACCTTTGGGTGTGTGGTGAGGGAGGTGGGCAGCTATGGGTGAGACGGCTAGCAGGCCTAGAGAGGGTCTTGGAAAGGACTCAGGGCTTTGAGTTCCAGAAAAGCTCTTACTATGTGCTTAACAGTATTGGATGTCGACACAAAAATAAAAGTCTCTTGCTGATACATTACAATTCTGGTAGCTTTTCCTTATGAAGAGACAATGTGTGTGTATGCATGAACAGTAATTAGAAAGTAACAGCTGCTTGGGAATTAACAGCAATATAGGAAAACCAAAATTAGAATCAGTTTACCCAATGAGCCACCAGGTGGAAATTGGCAAACAAATGTGAAAGCTGAATGTTTTAAGAACATTTAATAGGTATTTCTGTGAACTCAGACATGACATGATACAGGAGAGCCAAGCACATGCAATGCCCTGTAATGTGTCAGAGATGGACAGAGCAGCATGTAAGATGATCGAAGAGGAATCCTGGGTGGAGGCAATCGACATGCTGGCCTTAGAGCAATTCTTCAGAAGGAGCAAGAGAAGGATATTGTCTAAGGCAGGGGAAGCACCACGAGCAAAGCCACAGAGGCAAGAAGGTGTATTTTCAGCTCTGGGAACGGTACCTCCATTCACCTAGTTGGCCGCCCAGAAACCTGGGTGTTAACTTCCCCACAAATCCAAGTAAGTGCCTATTCATTCTTCCTCCATAGTATCACCCATTGTGTGTCCCAGGTTTTCTACAATGAATATGTATTCCTTTTGTAATTAACAACAAAACCCCCCTTAATATAAAAAAAGGCTGTTTTTGAGTAAATTTCCAATTTACATGTGGCCCTGCTGTGAGGAGACGAGTCACCATTCCCATTCCTTCCTCTCCTGTGCTTTCCTCTTGGGAAAGGTTAGGGTCTGGAGATCATGATTCTGGGAGAAAAGAAACAAATGAGGCATAAAAGTTTAGCTCACTTAGCTAGGAAGTCACATTCTCACTCAAGAGGGGGTTCAAAAGTGTCAGGTCACGGGCTGAATTCACAGACCCACAGTGGGATATAATTTCCCTTTTTTAAGCTGATAATTTTGTATGGCGTGGGGATGTCATAAGTTACAAATGACCCTTGGCAGAAAAAAGGTTCCCCACCCCTGCATTAGAGTGTAGCGAGTCTAGTATCCCCTATTCACCACTTACCAGCAGTGTGCAAATCACAGAACCTCTTAAATCTCATTTTTCTCATCTGTAAAGTGGGGATAAATCCCTTGTAAAGTTGTTGCTTTGAAAATTTAAAGGAACATGCAGATAAAGCAGTTGGTACAGTGCCTAGCAAATAAGTATATAGTTTACAAATGTCCTATTCTTTGGAGGAAGTGCCTCTGCAAATTTGCCTAATCAAAGGCAAATGACCAAGTGAGATTCATACTAAACATGGGTTGGTTCAGCATAAAAAATCAGTCTACATAATATATTAATACAAAGAAAAACTCCCACTTGATCCTCTCCAAACCGAAAAGATATTACAAAATATGACACCATTTTATGATAAACTAGGAACAGAAGAGAACTAATTGCATTTGAGATGCTTTAAGATGTCTGCCTTGCCACTTCTATTCAGTATTTTACTGGAAGTTCTAGCCAGGCTACTTAGGCAAGGGAAAAGAAAAAGGTATCCAGATTGGAAAGGGATTAAAACTTCATGATCTTGCATACATAAAGTCTTCAGGAATCCACAAGCTATCACAGGTAAGTTCAAGGTTGCAGGATACAAGATGAATATACAGTAAAGGGACAACCTCTTTAAAATGGGCAAAAGATTTGAATAGCTATTTCTCCAGGTGTATTTCTAGGTATTAGCCATGAACAATCAAAAGATGAAATTTAAAGCAATTCGAAGAGTATTAAAAGAATGAAATGCCTAGTAGTAAAAACAGGAAGTATAGGCATGTACACTAAAAACCATTGTTGACTTGGTGCAATCCCTGTCAAAATCCTAGCTGGCTCTTTTACAGAAAACTAATCCAAAATTTCATGGAAATGCAAGAGACCCAGAATAGTAAATCTGGAAAATGAACTAAGTTGAAGGACTCGTTTGCAGTATCAAAACTTTATACAAAACAGTAATCAAAATAGTGTTGTACTGGTACAAGGGCAGACATACAGTGTATCAATAGAAAAGAACTGAGTCCTGAAATAAGCACATTGTATAAATGATTTTCAACAAGAGTACTAAGAAATTAAGTGGGGAAAATATTCTTTCAAAAAAAATGGTGCTGGGGCAACTGGACATCCACATAAAAATGAATTTAGAGGCCCTGACTGAGTAGCTCAGTTGGTTAGAGCAGCCTGGTTGGCAACTGCTGGGTTAGAGCATCATCTCAATATGCCAAGATTGCAAGTTTGATTCCTGGTCAGGGCACATATGAGACTCAGCCAATGAATGCATAAATAAGTGGAACAACAAATGGATGTTCCTCCCTCTGAAAATCAATAAAAGAATGAAATTAGACCCCTACCTTGTACTGCTAATGAACTCAAAATGGATCAAAGACCTAATGTGAAAGCTAAAAGTCCTAGAAGAAAATGCAGTTTCTTAGATATGGCACCAAAAGCACAAGCAACAACAACAAAAAAATTGGATTTCATCAAAATTAAAAACTTGGTGCTTCAAAGGACACTAAAAAATGTCAAAAGAGCCCTAGCTGGTTTGGCTCAGTGGATAGAGCGTCAGCCTGTGGACTGACGAGAGTCCCAGGTTTGATTCTGGTCAAGGGCACATGCCTGGGTTGTGGGCTTGATCCCCAGTGTGGGGCGTGCAAGAGGCAACCAATCGATGATTCTCATTGGTGTTTTTATCTCTCTGAAATCAATAAAATACATTTTTAAAAATGTCAAAGATAACCACAGAATGGGGAAAAATATGTGCAAAATCATAAATTTAAGGGTCCAGTATCCAGAATACATAAAGAATATATAAACAGCCCTAACTGGTTTGGCTCAGTGGATAGAGTGTCAGCCTGCGGACTGAATGGTCCCAGGTTAGATTCCGGCCAAGAGCATGTACCTTGGTTGCAGGCACATCCCACTTGGCACACCAGAGGGCTAAAATTCACAGGTGGGAAACAAGCGTTGATGTAGGAGAAACAAACATTCATACAACGCTACTGGGAATGTAAAATGGTGCAGTCACGGAGGAAAACAGATCGGCAGCTCCTTAGAAAGTTATGCCACACAGCAATTCCTTTCCAGGCATACACCTGAGAGCAATGAAAACGTGTCCACACAAAAACGTCTGCACACATGTTCACAGCATTATCTATATACATAAAAGCCTAAGTGACCGTCCAACCAGTAGCTATGACACAATGACCACCAGAGGGCAGATGCTCAATGCAGGAGCTGCCACACTGTCCTGACTTGGCATCTGTGGTTCTTGGGTGATGCACCTGGAACCGGGGATGAGGGAGCCCAATTGTAGGGTGCATCACTGGAGAACTGCCCTCTTGCAATGTGGGGCCCCTCGGGATGTCCGAGAGCCTGTTTTGGCCCCATCCCCGCAGCCAGGCTGAGAGACCCCACCTGCTAGAGGGACCCTAACTCACTCCACAGACGCCCTTTGAGCTGCATCACCACCCCAGGTGTGGCTGGCCGGGGAGGGACCTCAGGAGGTTGGTGCCAAGGCATGTCCGCCAGTCTCACCCAGTCCCGCCCCACCAGCCACCTTTTAATTAATTTCCTTTCAATGTGCACAAATCCATGCACAGGGCCTCTAGTTATTCATAACAGCCCAAACTGGAAACCACCCAACATCCATCAGCCCAGGGACAGATAAAATGTGGTGGTACATCCATACAATGGAATATTATTCAGCCATAAAAAGGAATGAGATGCATTCATGTTTCAAAATTACCCTAAGTGACAGAAATCAGACACATACTGTATGATTCTATTTTTATGAAACGTCCAAAATGGGCAAATCCATACAGTGGTTGCCAGGGACTAGAGGAGGGGGAAGGAGTGGTTAATGGGTATGGGTTTCTTTTTAGGGTGATGAAATGTTTCAGAACTAAATGGTGGTGATGGTTTTGCAACTTTGCAAATATACTAAAAGCCACTGAACTGTATACTTTAAAAGTGAATATAGTATGTGAATTATATCTCAGTTAAAAAATAGAAGAGGTAGTAGAGTCCTCAGAAAAAGAAAAAGGTCTGGATACAGGTCTTAGTACAGACCTTAAGTTACTGAGTTTCACCTAACTCCACTGTATCTTATTTTTTTCTTCGGAGAGGATGATAATCTGATGCTTGCGTTCTCAGGTCTCTGGGGAAGACAGCACGAAATGCTGGTTGTCAAACTGGACTTGAAAAGTTACTGACGAATACAGGGGCTCCTTGATTTAGGGGAGGATGGCACAAGCCTTGGTGGTTAAGATGAAATTAAATGCACGTTTGTTCAGTTCTGCAAGGCGTTAACAGTGCTATTTTATTTGACGCTTACAGTTCTTACTGGTAATCGAGGTACTCAATGTTATCTTACCCTTTCCTCCATAAAGAAACACAGGTTAAACAGGACTTCTGATTCCAAATCCCCAGTACCTTCCACAACTTGACGATCAGCTGGGTTCAACCCGCCCTCATCTCAGGTGGAGTCAATAGGCTCCTGTTCCGAGGATGCTTGGCTGCTTCAAGAGCTGGGAGATCAGAAGCAATGGGGGAGACCCCGAGTACGTCCCAGGGTGAGGGGTTGGGTACTCAGAGATTATCCGGGACTGAGCTCCTCAAACTTTTTTGACTTCAGAATTCTTTATTAGAAGATCGTCCCTAAGTGGAAAGGACAACCGCGGGGGGCCGCGTCGCACAGCAGCAGTAGTGGGCAAGCTGGGACAGGCTGGCCTGCAAACCGTTCCCTCAGCCCACTCACCTTTCTCCAGCATTCGGGTATCACCACGCGACACCGCCTCCCAGCAATTCTCCGGGCGCCAGCGTCGCTGCACTGCAGCGCCAGCCCCGCTCTGCAGGCCTGCTCTGCCCGCGGATTCCTCTCTCCCGCCTTCCCCGAGGCCGGGTCTGAGCCTGCGGTGCTGGGCTCCGGGAGCTCGGGTGGGGGCTGTCCAGCCGGGTCTTTCACCGTCTCCCAGCCACAGCTCCGCAGCCAACGACTCAGTCTCAAACAAAACACCGTGGGAAAATACCGCAGGCAGGGAACCGAGTACAGCTCTAACTGACGAACCGGCTCCAGGTCCTGCCAAATATCACGTCCTCTTCTCGCGCCAAAGAGGACGCGCGAAAACAGCATCACTTCCGGTCATGCGCACTTGCCTTCCAGCCCCTCTAGCTTCTATTCCCTAGAAATCTCCGCGCTCTCTTCCTAGTCAAAGCCTGTATTCTCGGTGCCAGCTTTGTGGTCCGCACACCCTCCTGGATCGTGAATCCTAGAGAGGCTTCCGCGAGTTCTTGCTCCCAGAATCTATTTCCCATCATGCTATGTCGCACATGCTCCTCGGGTCCACCGCAATCCAACGCCTGGAGCCTCTGAGACAGGAAGCGACTTGGCGCTAAGGATCATGGGAGTTGTAGTTTTAGCGCAGTCAACAGCTCTACACTGGTTCTGGGCTCCCGATTTTTCAGTTGGTCACGTTCCCAGAGCAGCAGGTGAAGAAGGTTTTCTCCTTCCCGGACCTTCAACTCAGGCCCAGCTCGACACCTTCACACTCCTCTTGAGCCTCTCAGTGTGAACAGAGCTGCCACCGGTTGGTGGCCTGGCATTCTCAAAGCATAAAATCAATCGGCAGGAGGGAACCGCTTCAGTAATTTCAGGGGCAGAAACACACTTTGGTAGTGTTTGATCAGCACTGTTGCAAAAGGAGATTCCTGAACTTTCTGTCTGTTGGAGGATTCCCTGCTCCATATCAGGGGATATTTCAATGGACCTCCTCAGAGCACTGATGAAAATTCTTCACCACCCAAGCAATTTTCCGATAACCCAATTCAATTTTATAGGCATTTTGACAATAAGACGGGAATGCGTTACCTGGGAAGCGGAAATGAGTGTAGGGGTCCTAAGGCCTCTTCTCACGTTGTGCGGTCTCGGCCCCTTTCAGCCACAGCTGGTAACGCTTTTGCCAATATAACCCTCTTAACTTAGTGAGTCCTATATGAGTTTTACTGGATTAACTCCATTAGGTAAGTCACGCTCACAGATCCCTTTGAGATAAGCCCATTTCCACTTTTGGCTTCTGAATTTGGGGCTTACGATTTGGGAGGTCAGAAGTCTGAGATGGGTATCACTGGGGTAAAATCAAGGTGTTGGCAGGGTTGCATGCCTTCCAGAGGCTCTAGGGGAGAATCTGTTTCCTTGCCTCTTCCAGCTTCCAGGGCTGCCGACACTCCTTGATTTTTGACTCCTTCCAGTTGGTGCGGTTCTGCCTGCAGCCACAGGTCCAACAGGTGCTAACCCCACACTGGCCACTAGGTGGTAGCAGAGGGTTTCTTACCCATGGCCCCTGGGAGGAAGCAGAGTGCTTCAGGCTTCAATTGATGCGATTCCGCATGTGGCCACTGGGCGGCGTTAGGACCCAAGAAGCCTTGTCTTAGGTTCCCAGAAACCAACATTCTTCTGGAAGAGTTGGGGTGAGGGGATGGGGAGCGGGATGAGATGGAGATGGAGATGGAGTGACTCTTGGTAGGCAGTGCAGATTTCTACCGTTATCCAGTACAGAGACCTGTCTTATGTGGGCTGGGTAGAGCACAGCTTCTGCTGGACCTGTCCTGTGGCAATGCTTTATCCTGCTCCTCTTCCCTACGGTCTGTGTCTGACAGGGCTGGGCTGGGCTGATACTGGACTGCCAGCTGGGGCTGGTTCTTCCCATCTTGTGCCCCGAGGGGAAGGCCCCAAGGCAGTCTCAGGGGACCTCTGAAGAGCACGTGTGTCCACCGTCCTTGGTACCTATAAGTGGGTACTGGTAGCAATCAGAAGGTGGTATGGGTAGGAGTTGCTGAGGGACCTGGGTAGGAAATAGACTATAAAGAGAAAAATGTGGAAATATTTCACATGTCTCTTTCAGAGACACACCTTGGACATCACACCAGCTTGGACATCACCACAGCCTCATCACCACCACCAGCTAACAGCAACAAACTTATTCTATGACATCCTCAGTTCTAAGTGCTTAACATAATTTTTTCCTTTCATCCTCACAACAATCCTATGAGGGAGACAGCATCATTATGCCCATTTTACAGATGAATAAACTGAGACCTGGAGAGGTTGTGACTTGTCCAGGTCACATAGTGAGTAGTGCAACTAGAACTGGAACCAAGTCCACCATCTCTTACCACGCTGCCATGGCTCCTGGCCCCTGGATTAACGAGGAAAGACACCACAGTAGGAATGAAGCCACAGGAGGTTTTCTTGCCCACAAGTTTAACCATCTCCCTTGCAGCCTGGGGGAGGGAGGTGTGTGAGCCATCCCCTGCCTGCCCTCTGGTCCTTTGCCAATCCCCATGTGCAGAGGCTGGGGATGGCCAAGCAGGAGCTGGAAGCAGCCTCTGCTGGAAGTTCCACGTGAAGAAGTTTCCAGTGCAAAGACCTGTCTTCTGTGAGGTGGCTGAGAGTGGGTGGTCTGGTAGACTGAGTTGTCTTTGGTGCTGACTCACTGAGAACAGATTCTGAGACGGTAGGGAATAGGCCCGTCAGACACAGCCAGCGTATTACCTTCTGGGGTGCAGGACAAACAATAGCTTGAAGCAACCCCAGGAGAGCTGCAGGAGAACTGGCCACGCGTGCAACAAGCGGACAGAAAACCGGTCAGGATGCCGGAGACCTGATCTCACGCTAAACAAGCTGGCATTTGCAGGACACTCGCTGACACGACAGTGCGGTTCTCGGCCCAGCCAGTGGCCACATGCAGCACTAACAGTGTAGATGTGCAGTTGTCCACACAGAAGATGAGCCTACACTTGGACATGACCTTGCTTCTGGAAGGCCCCAGGAATTTGGACTTTGCTAAAGCTGAGAGCTTTCCCGCGGTACTTGGCCCATTTTACTGCCATCAGAGGGCTGCTGCAGGATCTCCAGAAACCAACCCTGGGGTCCCGTCCTGTTCTCCCCACCACTGTGCCCTGAACCAATGCCCAGCTCTCAGCCTCGTTACAGCTTAATAGATGGTGCCCAGGTGGGTGCACACAGGGGCTGCACACCAGGGAAGTGAGTACAGCGGATTATGGGATGGGAAGTAAACCCACAAAGGTTCTCAGACAGGAAACTGCCCTCCTCAACTGCAGCTCACAGAGAGGCCGGGACCTGACTTTGACTCAAGTCTTTATTTGGCAACAAATGCATTCCTGTGAGGAGACCATGGGCCACCACCCAGCCACCAAAAGCACCTCCTCCAGAAAGTGAGGAACCAAGAGTCCCCTCCTCCACTGTCGCTTCGTATCATGACAGGGAGGGCACATGGAGGCCTGCCACAGGGCACTGAAGACCCCCCGAGATGTCCCCTCCTCCTCAGTCTCAGAGCAACGGTGGGAACTGGACCCAGGGACTGGGAACCTCACGCCCATGACTCGTGGGGCTGGAGGGAGCTGAGCAGGAGGGAGGGACCTGGAGGACGAGGTCCTGGATCCTGGCTCCCTGGGGGCTGGCAGGGGCTCTGGGCTCTGGCTGAGGCCCAGCTCGAAGTCACAGGCAGGCTTCTGTCCCCTCCGAAACCCAAACTGTCCCAGCTAGGAGGGCAGCCACTCCTGGGAAGGGACTGTCATCGCCCCTCAAAATGGGCTGTGATTTGCTCCAAAGTCTTTCCTTTGGTTTCAGGGACACAGAACACAGTGAAAAGGACACTGCCGACGCAGAAGGCAGAGGCGAGCCAGAAAGCACCGTAGGGCCTGAGCACCTCCTGCAGAGAGAGGGGAAGAGCCAGTGACTGGAGAAGGCAGCAGCCCTCACGTGACCACCCGCCTGCGCTGCCCAGGGGCGGGGCAGTGGAGGAGGCTGAGCACTGCCCATGGGATGGACGTTGTGTGCTGGGGAAACTGAGGCTCACTGTGATGAAGTGGCTGCCCCGGGTCAGAGATACACTATCCAGTGACAGCTGGGTTCTCCCCACCGGGGTCTGATTCCAGAGCCCACAGACCTTCCCTGTACACTTGGCTTTGGCCCTGCCCTCTGAGGTACCAGAGGGTATGGATGAGTGAACAGCAGGTGAGATGGGCAGTATGAACACACAGGCACTCAGGGCCCAGGCAGGGAAGACAGCAGTTCCCTCTGGTCAGAGCCTGTCCGTCCTCCCAGCCCAGAACCACAGCCCCTCCCTCCCTAGCAGTCCCTCCCTGGGGCAGCTGTCTGATGGGCCCGCTCCTTGGACAGACTCCAGGCCAGCCCTGGGCATCCCGCCCCCAGCCCAGCCTCCTGGTTTATTCTCCCACCACCGTCCACTGCTGTCCCAGCCCTAAATAAAGCGACCCTGCCCATCTCATTCCTTGCTGTCTCTGGCACCATGAACAGCCTGGAGGTGGTATGTACCAGGAGACCTGGGGGCTAGGGTGGCAAATGACTGAGCAAATGCTTGTCCATCTGCTCCAACACCATCCCCCATTGGCTGGGAAGCCCCTTAGGCAGGGCCGTGTCTGTCAAGTCTATCCATGAAAAGGGAGCAAAATGTTGAACTGAACTGATGCTCCCATCAACCCTAGAGGAAGGTATGGCACCTCCTCCATGTTCCACCAAGGAAGCTGGTTCGGAGGAGGTAAGCAGCACACCACGGTCACAGAGCGGGGAAGTGCCAGGCAGCGCTGGAGCCAGAACTTCCCCACAGAGCCCGACTTCCCGCCCTGGGTCCTCACTGTCCAGGGGGGAGGCCCGCCCTGCCGTCCTCCACCAAGACCGCCCGAAGGCTCCCGAGTGGTCCGGCCTGGGTTCCCCTCACCCCGACCCAGACGGCTGGCGCCCCGGATGGGGGCGGGGGGGCAGTCAGCCTGCACACAAGGCCATTCACCGACCCTGAGTCTTCTGCGAAGAGAACAATCTACAAGCACTTCTCTGCTGACGGGAGGGGAGGCTGCGGGGCCCGGACTCACCATGAGGCTGCTGAACTCTTTTGTCACCAGAAAGGCCATGAGCCAGTTGGTGAGGACACAGACTCCGGTGGCCACACCCTTGACGTGCAGAGGGAAGATCTCTGACATGAGGAGCCAGGGGATGGGCCCCCAGCCCACAGCGAAGCCTCGGGAACAAGACAGGTGTCAGCACCACAGGGACCAGAACCCTCGGCCCCCTGCAGACCCCGGGGCTGACGCCTGGCGGGGCTGCCCACATGGGCTGAGGGGCCTGGGTGCCAGGCTGGGCCCCCTCTGCGCCTCCCTGCTGTGAGGTCGGCCAGGCCCTCTGCTTCTTACACTCGGGATAACGATGGGCCCACTCAGTGCGCTGATGGGGGACTGAGAGGAGAAGGGCTGAGCTTGGTGCTGGGCGCGTGGCCAGAGCTATAAACGCAGACTTGGGACCTCTATGGACAGGTGAGACCAGGGAGGCCTGGGCTGGCTGGGAGCCCCTGAATGCAGCAGTGACAGGGCGTCCCCATCAGTCCCCACCCGACCTCCCCACAGGCCCTCTCTCACCAGCAATGAAGAGGCACATGCTGCCCACCGCCAACCAGGCCAGCCCTACACTGGGGTCGGCGGGCTCCACGGAGACGGGCGCCAGCAGGTCGGCGTGTGAGGAGTTGCTGGGGCTACCCTGCGTCAGCCTGAAGTAGGTGCCAAAGGCACTGGTGCTGAACACCATGACCACACCTGCGGGGAGGGCGGCGCTGGGGGAAGCGGCCCGGAGCCCGGGCATGTGGCTCCGCGGCAGGAGTCACAGCCCAGTGTGACCACAGCCAAGTGGCCTGGACACCTCGGAGGGGCAGTGAGCGTACCCCAGAGCCGACTGAGCACCACCAGTCAGCACACGGAGGGGCTCCCGAGCCTCCCCATGGCCCCGTTGCCCCCATTTCAGAGGGAAACTGAGGTTCAGAGAGGTCAAGTCACTTCCCCTCCAGGGCCCTCCGTTTCCTCATTGTCAGCTGGGGCCCAGTGGCACCTTCCTTGCAGGTTCATTGCAAGGTTACGGCGTGAAGTAGTAACGCCGTGAGCACGGGCCTGGCCTGCAGCGAGCGCTCCCGTTAAATCTATCTTGTTCTCAGGGACACTTGTCCTCCTCCTCCCACAACACAGTGGCCTTGGCACAGACCCTCCAACCGGCAGTGGGAGCCTGGCCGGGTCACCACTCGCACAGGGCTGAGCCCTCGGGCCTCACCTGACAAGGCCAGGAGCAGCCGCCGCCCGGCTCTGTCCATGACCAGGGCCGCCCCGGCCGTGAACAGCACCTGGATGACGCCCACGATGACGGAGGCCAGGCTGCTGTTCTGGGGAGATGGGCAGAGGCGGGTCAGGCGAGGCCCGGGGAAAGGCCACACCCGAGTGGCATCGGCATGAGGCAGAGGCCTCTTTACCTTGAACTTGGCCTCCTCGAAGATAGTCTCTGCGTAGAACATGACAGCGTTGATCCCCGACAGCTGCTGGAACACCATGAGTAAGATGCCGATGGCGAAGGGCTTGTAGATGCCGGGCCGCCTCAGCTGGGCCAGCTGGAAGCCCTGCTGGACGGAAGGGGCGTCAGTGCTGCTCTGCCCTCTGCCCGGGCGCCCTGCTCCAAGGAGGGAGCCTCAGCTTCTCCAGGTCACTCTCGGCATCACTACGGCCTCCCCGTTTGTAAGGTGGAAGGTCCTCACTCCGGACATCCCTCCCTGATTTGTTGGGGGGGCGGGCCCACAGAGACAGCACATGGACAGAGGGTCGGGGGCTCCAGAATCCCACCAGCCTCGGGCCGGACCCGAGTCCTCACCACCACCACCACCGGCTCCGCAGCAGCATGTGCTGACTCCTGTTCTACATGAAGAAACTAAGGCTTGACAATGGGACAGTCACCGGCAGGTAAGGGGCAGAGACTCGATTTCAACCCCTGCCCATAAGCCCCACGTAAAAACCAAGTCCTCAAGTCCGCCCTGCGTGTCCCTGGGACCCGCCGGGCCTTTCTCTTCAGTGAGACCAAGGCTTGGGCCCTGCCAAGGAGCGGGGCTTGCGCAGGCCTTTGCTTGCTGGCACACAGGACAACACTGGCTCCGTGTGTGTGTGTGTGTGTGTGCGCGCGCGCGTGTGTGCGTGTGTATGTGTGTGTGTGTGAGAGTGCGCGCGCATGCATGCAGTTACATCCTTGAGAACGGCTTGTGCTGGCTCCCTGGCTGCAAAGGGGTGATACCTCCCTGACCCCTTCCCCCAGCTCCACCTCCCAGCCCCTCACCTGGTGCTCAGCCCCGACAGGGGGCTCTTCCCAGCCCTGCTCAGAGCCCCACAGGAACCGCACGGCAGCCAGGGCTTCCTGGCGCTTGTGCTG